CCCCCCCCCCCCCAATAATTTAAGATTTCTGTATAGTGTATTTGGAATGCCCTAAATAAAACTATTTCTCTCTCTTTTATAGAACCTACAGTGAGAACCTTTACTCCATTTTATTTCATAGTGGAGCCAGTGGATACTCTATCAGTTAGAGCTTCTTCTGTTATACTGAATTGTTCAGCATATTGCGAGTCACCTCCAAAAATTGAATGGAAAAAAGATGGGACTTTCTTGAACTTGGTATCAGATGACCGACGACAATTGCTACCAGATGGATCTTTGTTAATCAACAGTGTTGTCCATTCCAAGCACAATAAACCTGATGAAGGACATTACCAGTGTGTGGCAACTGTGGAAAGTCTTGGGACTATTGTAAGCAGAACAGCTAAGCTTACAGTTGCAGGTGAAAACCTTATTTGGATATCTATTGCCTACTACTTGCCAAATGTGGGGTTAATGTTTCTATAGAATAAATATATGTGTATACAGGTAGACCACAGGTTAAGAACGCCTGGTTTAAGGATGACCCATAGTTAAGAACAGAGCCTATTGTAGCAAAATTTAAGTTAAGTACACAATGATTCGAGTTAAATACACAATGGTTCAAGTTCATTACACAATACTACTTACACAGTATTATACAATAATACTGTTCTGGTTTACATACAAATTTGACTTAAGGACAGACCTTGGGAACGGAACTCATCTTAAACTGGGGACTACCTGTATTATAGGAGAAGTAGTCTGAGAAGGCAGTCTCCAGAAGGTAACATCTATTAAAAGAGGGCCAGTCCTCACAGACCACTTCCTGCTTTGAAGCATTAGAAGGTTAACTTTAGGGCAAATGTTAGTGATAATCTTAGATTTACAGTATGTTGTGTGGTGATTGCCTCTAGGGAAACTTTAAACTTGGAATTAGGGTAAAGTTAGGCTTAGGTTTAGAATTAATTAGGTTTTTTTTCTCAAGTTAAAAATTGCCACCTCATGTTTTTAGGGATCTTTTCCATTTCCATTAAGGGATTCCAGTCTCTGGAATCAGCTCCCCCTTGAAGTCTGTCTGGAGTCTGATCTCTAGTTATTTAAAAGTCCCTTAACAAGTGTTGTTTTTTTCCTGGTAGGACATTTATGAATCAGGAAAAACCCTCTTTCTCATGGTTCACTCTGATTTATACTAATGTTATGTTAAGAATTGTTTGTATTGATTATTGCATGTATTAGGAAATGTCTTAGTAATTATATTGTTTTTCTGTGATATTAGTTTATATTATATATCATTTTGATTTATCCATACTGAGCTTAGTTATAAGAACATACTAAATAACCTAGTACTACTGCTTTCATAGTGGATAGGTGGACTTCTCTATTTCCTCCCCACTCTATAGAGGTCATTTCCTAAATTAAAAAAAAAATTAAAGTGAAATAGAGAACAATGAAAGTTGGGTGGGCATTGCCTCAGAGTTTTCCACATGAAGTAGCTATAGTGTTTTTCCTCCTCGGGGATTTTCCTGCCTGATATCATTACAGGATGCCTTATGTTTGGCTGTATTGCAGAGCCATTTCCCAACCACCACTAGAAAAACAATATTTTGTTACTGTCAAGATGGAAGTATGGTCTCCAGCTCCTCTGATAGCCAAGATTCTCATTTAATTTGGGAGATGATCTGTCTCATGGGATCATTTTCATTGTCATCTGACTTGTTGAAGCTTTCAGGAATTCAGGGGCATGCCTTTCTTTAGTAGAGTAAAGTAATGAATCTTCATTTATTTTGTAGATTAAGTTGAGTTTTTCCTTTGTTTTATTACTACAATATACAGATAACTAGAAATGGAGGCGAATATGTGTAGCTCAGGGTTGAACTGTGGAGTCCTTGGGGTTCTCTGAGCTGGTAGTTCATTGATTAGTATAGCAAAGGTCACCACCAGGCACACAATCAAGCAGTCAACATAGGCTAATCAATGAACTACCAGAAGAGCAAAACAGAACCCCCACCCCCACCAGCACTGGCACCCCACCCACAGCAGATAAATAGAGAGCAAACCTCATCCCATTTTAGCACTGAAGAAGTTACCTAGTTGGGTAATGAAATGCTTGCAAGAAAAGAACCAAGCACAGAGAACCCCAAGGACTCCACAGACAACTAGAAACAAATAAAAATACAAATTAGTTGACATCCAGCCCTTTTAAATATTTGCTGAAGTATCCAATATACTTCAAAACTATTTTGATGAATTATTCTCAACTTAAGATCATAAAATATATATTTCATATTTTTAAAACACAAAACATAGATCTATTAAGTTAAAATATTGCAACTCTTTATTCCAAAGGTTTATCTATCTTAGTAATTCTTTTCAGTTATCTGTTGAAAAAACCTGTAGGCTTTGACATTTTCCAGTCAAACAAATTATTTGGGAGTTTCAGAAGCTGCTAATTTATCAGGCCCAGATTAAACAGTCAATGTTTTCATTGATTATTTTGTTTTTCAGCAAATTTGTGCAGCCAAAATTCTTCTTATAGTGCATTAATACCTTGAAAGAATTAGTAAACTGGTGTAAGGTATTAATACCTTTTTCCATTGTTGTGAATTGTTAATTTAGATCACCATTTTGCAATTAGATTTTTCATTTTTTCTCTGATCAGTACTTAGGAAAAAGATTTTTTTCCTCTGCAAGAAAATAAGAGGTTTATTTCTTGCAACCTACTCAAAGAATAGGAAACATGCAAATGTTCACAATGCTGTCCCTCCCCTAGAAAAAAGTTGTTCTTTGTAAAACCCAAGTCTCTAGGACAATGTTTCTCAACCTTGGCAACTTTAAGATGTGTGGACTTCAGCTCCACACATGCTGGCTGGGGAATTCTGGGAATTAAAGTCCGCACATCTAAAAATTGCCAAGGTTGAGAAACACCACTCTAGGAGTTCTAATGCTTGCTTAAATTCCTGCCACCATAACTATAGCTCTTCCTCTAGATTTCTAGAAATAAGACTGTTCGTCCAAGAACTCCTTTAACACTGCCAAATCTCTTCCAGTTTATTTTGCAGGAACATCATCTCTTTTACTTACTTTTTCATATATGCTTTTGTGGGAACCTTTTTATCTACTTTAGCTTATAAATATGATGCAGATTACATATGGTGCGTTAAAGCATTTTTCTAACTCAGTGAAAGAATTGAAAAACAAAAGAAAAACAAGCAGCAATAATTCTAAAAAAATGGCTGATGTTGGTTTGTTTCTTTAATGAACTAGTTACTCCTTTCAGTGTGCTTTTTGTTTATCTCCCCCCCTTTTAAAACAATATGTAAATATGAAATCAGGTTGATAATTATTTACCATCTCATTGATGTGTTCTACCATTTAAATTCAGATATAATGTGCATTAAATTATGGCTGTGGTCTAAAAGAGCAAGGCACAAATGCTGCATTCTTATCTCTGCTTTATGAGTGACCATTTCAGTAGGCGTGAATGAGTCTGTAATTTTTCAGATTTTAGGGGGAAGTTACAGTAAACTTCATTATTTGGAGTGACATTGAATTTTTCTTCAGGCTTGGTATATGCATGCCTGAGAGTTGAGAATACAGATAAGGATACCAGGTAGAAGGAGAGAGGCTGGAGTTAGCAGTAAAAGTTGTGGGGGCGGGGGGAGGTTATAAATCTGTGCCATTTCTGTATGGGAGTTTGCTATAAGATTGTTTTCCCACCCCCCACCCCTCAAACTCTCTTGTAGGGTATATAGCTTTGCTTTTGTCATACAAAGGAAATAATTATATTAAACCTGGATTTCTCATTGTTCAGAAAAGAGTTAGATTAATATTGTATAGCATTATTATTATTGTTATCATTATTACTACTATTACTACTACTGCTATTCTCTTGTGTGAGTCCTGTGAGAAGCATTATTTATGAGAGAAAGGGAAAATTATCCAGCATTCAAGCCATGAATCTGCATTTACTTCTTGTCTTGATGGAAAATAAGAATGAGAAATAGACATTTTAATTTGATTCTGTGAGGTCCAGAGGTGGTTTCAGATTATATGCAGGACTCTCCTGATGGAGAAACAACTGTGGCTGGTCCACATCTTGGAAATTATAAAATCTAGTTGCAGGTGTAGAAACCAAATCTTATCAAATTAGATTATACTGGAATACAAATCTTTAACTTTATTATCTCTGATAAAAATGTGTGGTTCTATCACTGGACAAGAGGAGCAGCAGTGAAGAAGGATGTTGTACTTTTACTGTCTGCATGTAAGAAGCTGGAATTGGTGATTAGCTTGCTGAGTGAAATATGTGAATATAGCATACTGTTTCAGAGCACATTTATTAAATTAGTGCTCATGTATATAATTTAAAATATTTCACATAAATTATACTGTAATTCTTCTGAAATCCATAAATGTTATCATAAGCTTGATACATTCAGACTGAAGCTGAGAAAAGAGAAGGTTGTTTGAGGCTTTCTATTGAGTTCATGGATGGTAGAGGTAAGATTTGAATTACAGGCTTTGTGATTTGTAATTTAGTTCTTACTTTAATACACTGTATCAGTTATACATGTTAATTTAGGAAACTTGCTTATAATAGTGATAACTGCCATACACACAGACACACACATATATATCAGGCACAGTTATCACTAGTATGCGTATACATACACACACACACACACACACATTTTGCAGCATCAAGGAATTTTACTGTTCACTTCCATTGAGTGTGGAGCTGTAATTTTGAAATGCGCACACACTACTTATAAGTATCTGACTCATCCCAGGTCTACTTTTTTTGAATATATAGATAAATCTCCAATGAATCACACTTTTTTCTGCATGACAAACAGTTAAAACACTGGTACATAGTACTGGAGATTTCAAACAACAATATTAATGTTTAAATAGGAATGGGAACTCAATGAAATAAAATCTGTTCATCAATCCAGCAGTTTAATATGGGCTGCTAGAAGGCTATTTGGACAGAAGCAAGCTCTTCTAATATGGCACCTTCATTTTGAAAGAAATTTCAAAGTATTCAAAAGTATGTTGGGACTGACACAAAGCAATACATTTACAACTTCTGTGTAATAATTGAATTAATTTTCAGAACTTAGAGTTAAGCATCAATGAAGTTGGCATTTGAGTGACATAGGGTTTGGGGTGGTGGTGGTTTTGGTGTGTGTGTGTGTGTGTTTTGAGAGTGTTTAAATGTGCAGTCCCCTCTTCCATCCCTGCTGGTTTTTGGTTGTTTGTTTTCCCATAATCACGTGATGTCAACTCTTAGAACGAATCTCTATGCAGAAAATGAAATACTGTATACCTGTTGCTATCCCAGGTGTTTTTTTCTTTTTTTTTGTACCCTCCCCTCATATCAGATTTTCATGATGGGGCACTGAGGATGCCATCTTCTCTAAATTATCCTGCGTGGAATACTGGGGATTTTGGTAGAGGCAGTCAGTCCATTATGATGAAGGCTCAGAGCATCAACTGCCTTGGGATTTCATCCAGTTCCATATGACCCAAGTACAAAGTCAAAATTGGTTTGCCTGAGGGAAAAATTAGAACATCGGTGGTTGGCTATCAGAGAAAACTTGGGATGCTGATTTTGTATCAGATTCCTGAAAGTTTCTTGGTGCTGTGGCTGTGCAAAATGGGATTCGAACAAAATGTGCCGTATGTGTTGGGAGGCTCTTAAATCAACAGTACCTTATTCTGGACTTGCACAGCTTTCATAAACTAGAAGTATTTCCAGGGACTTGTGTTATGAATGCAACACAGTTGTATCATAATTCATATGACCTTTATGGACACTTCACTTTCTTTAAACATTTAAGCAAAACAATGTAGATATTTCAGTTAAAAAAATCATTAACAAAACTTGAAAACATAGAGTCTGTGTTGAAATAAACTGAGTCAGGAGTTATTTCCCATGTAGGTAGGCTATGCAGTTTTTTTTGGCATTAGTGATTCTAGACTACTCATCTAAATGTTTGCATTTTTATAGTGTTAGAAGTAATAGGTGTGGTATGTTATAATAATCTTTCTCTGGGATACTACTATAATAATTATGGGATGACAGCTATGCAAATTCTATAGTTTATGCTATTGCTTTTTATGGACTCACTAGCAGAATAAATATTTGTGTTAGTGATTTTTGTTTGTGTGTGTGCCTTTGAGTCAGTGTTGACTCCTGGCAACTGCCTGGACTAGTCCCTGCAGTTTTCTTGGCAAGGTTTTTTGGAAGTGGTTTGCCATTGTCTGCTTCCTAAGGCTGAGAGAGAGGGACTGGCCCAAGGTCACCCAGCTGGCTTTGGGGCTATGGCAGGACTAGAACTCAGGGTCTCCTGGCTTCTAGCCTGATCAGCTTGGCTCTCATACTAGTTTTTAACATGTTTTTACTGCATTGTTGTTTTTTATCTGCTGTGAGCTGCCCAGAATCCCTCAGGTGAGATGGGTGGCCATACAAATTGAATAATAAAT